GGACTCCAGGATCATGACCTGAGCCGAAGGCAGTCGCTTAACCAACTGAGCCACCCAGGCGCCCAAGCTTTCATGCTATTCTTAAAAGAAAACCTCAACGTCCAGGTTCTCTGTCATCAAAGTGAGTTTTTGGGCCATAAGACTGGACTCTGGTTGAAAAGTCAGAGAGAATATCAAATCTTTATGTAGTTTTAGTCTTTGCCCATTTTCCATCCTATCTTTTGCTTCATTCTCCCTTACTGATTGCATTCTTACCACCCTGGGGGCTTCAGGTTGTTGAACGCAATAAGCTTTCCAGCTAGAGGCATTTAAATGTAATTTTCCCTTTGCTCTAGAACCTCTTTTTTCCCAATTTGCATCGGTCCTTTCAGTGTCTGTCTTAATCATCATTTCCTAAGGGAAGAATCCCCTAACTTCAAATCAGCTTAGGATCCTGCAAGGCATATTTTCGTAGCACCTTATTTTCCTTCCTAACAACTGTGATCAATTGTGTAATTGGTTGTTGAATGTCTGTGTTGCCGAGTATAAGGTCTATGTTTTTCTGGTTCACCATTGTATGCCTAGTACCTAGAATGAAGAGATGCATAAATGGTATGAATGGAGGAATGAATGAATGAATGAATGACTAATGAGTGGCAAACTGTACTGATTCCTGGATTAGGATAGTCACTGCTTCAAGTCCAACCTAAATACACACACACATACACACACAACTTTTTACTGCCTGCTAATTCATTTAATGTCTTGTTCAGGGGCACTGGTAGGTATTAGAGCATGAACGTCAAGCTTCTTCACTAGAGTTTGAAGAAATCAAAGAGCACAAAGCACAGAGGCAGCTTTGAAGAGTGAGTAGGCAGGCCATGTAGCCCACCTGAAGTCCCAGAAGAAGGACATATGTCTGCATCTGTTTTTTGTTTCTAGAGCCGTGCCTTGTCTGTTTGCCCTGAATGATGGGGCAGGCTGGTCAGCTTTATTTAGCTTGGACTATGTTCTCGCTTCTCTCTCCCTGTAGCACCGTGGCTGCCAGCATCAATGCCTTAGCAACGGTGACCTTTGAGGACTTTGTCAAGAGCTGTTTTCCCCATCTCTCCGACAAGCTGAGCACCTGGAGCAGTAAAGGCTTATGTAGGTAGAGCCAATTCATCTTCTACTCCATGTCATGAAATGTGAATATGGTACATGTTACTCAGGACTCACAGGCACAAATGCACACCGAGTGTATGAGGAATTTCACATAAGGATTCACACTTCCAAAGATACCAGGAGGGTAACAGGCAAGAATTACCAGCTAGCTTACCTTTCACCAACCTTCTATTTGACACTCTTCTGTACTCACCCCACACTCTAGACTCATCACTTCAACATCTCTTGCATATGTCTTGCTTTGACCATATTCATCCCTCTACATGGGAAGATGTTCTGCTCACTATGGCCAGTCACTTTGTCTAATAAAGTCAAATTATTTCTTTTTCTTTTTATAATTTTTATTTATTTATTTACTTACTTACTTATGTATTTATTTTTAGTATAGTTGACACACAGTGTTACATTAGCTTCAGGTGTACAACTTGGGGGTTTGACAAGTTTATACATTATGCCAAATTCTTTTCTAAAGAATTTTTGATTACCAAACTCCTGGTAACCTCCCTTCAAGGAATAATTGCTCCTTGCTTAATCACATAGTTGCATATTATGTTTATGCTCACTGTAGCACTTATCATATTGAATTATAGTTTTACAGAGTTTACTTCTTTTTCAGTATAAACAAATTATATGTTTATTCACTTATTACAAAAAAATGTAGGTAATTGGAGAAAATATATGTACTTTTTAAACAAAATTATGCCTAATTTTGTTCTGGTTGGTTCTTTTTCCTAGGAGAGTGTAGCAAGCATTTTCCTGTGTCATTTTTTTTTTAAAGATTATTTATTTATTTATTTGAGA